GAGGGCGTAACCTCACCTTCCCTTTTCCTTTGTTAGTCCCTGGGTGGTATCCACCATCCAGCTGTCTGGAATGTGGACATGATGGCTTGCCATATCGGAGAAGGCAAAAACCTTTGAGTAACAAAGCAAAAATATAGAAGGAAACAGGATTCCGGATACCTTGAAGTTGATGTAACGGCCCTGGCTAGCTTGTGCTGGGACAATTAATTACATGAGAGAGAAATAAACTTGAATCTTGCTTGTCACTGTTAATTTGGTCCCTTGTTATAAAAGTCAGAATTATGCCCTAATATAATAGTAATGCCATCTGCGTAAGATAAATAAGTTAACTTTGAAGATAATTCCAAATTTTCCTTTTAGAAGCAGCATTCCTCAGCTTTCTTTGAATCAGAGCTGCTGATTTGAGTTTTATTCCCTCTCCTTCTCTTCAGAAAAATGCCATAAACATAGTCTGTGGCCAGGCAACAATGGGGAGTAACCAAAGAAATTATAATTTCTGGTTAATTATGAGAAATCACATCTTGGTACATTTGAAAATTAAAGAACTAGAATTTTTTTTGAAAGGTACAGAAAGACACAGGTAAGAATATTCACTGAAGGCAGGGTTAATTGCAGTTGAGAGTATGCTTTTGTGCACAGTCAGCCATCTGCATGGGTAGTAGGTAATTAGACCTAATGGTTTTCACAAGCCACAGTGAATAAAACCATGTGCTTGTTATGGTCTGGTTATATAGACTAGCGAGGTTCTGCTTTACTACAAGTTTCTGAGGAACTGGCATTGTTTTGTTTTCTGATGAGGGTTGTCTTTTTTCAGCTTTTCAGAACTGTGTCACTTTTTTTTTCTGAGATAATGACATGAAGAAAGAGTAAGATCTTTGTATCAAAAATGAGTCAGATATAAAGTCATTCACACAGAGAGATAAGTAGATAGTGATGGCGCAACGGTTGTACATATGTATGTAATCAAACCAGAGTCTGAGCAATTTTAAACCTGATTATCTCAGAGCCTAATTTCATTTCTGTAAATTTCATTAACGCTTAGTCTTACCAAGATAAAATAGGATGGCTGTCATATAACGGTTCTTTAAATTTTCCAGAGATACTGAAAATTTGAGCTGGAGAAAGGTTCTCATGAAGTTTGCCCACTAAAATGGGTAACCTCAAAGGCCGAGAGGAGATGGCAAGCCACTTATATTCACCACCCAGCCTCTCAGTGGTCGGTCCCGTTCCCCAGCGATCTCTTCTCCACCTTACTTCCCCAGTCCTCCACCAAAAACTCCGATGCTTTTGTCTTTCTCATTTGGAAACTCCAATCCATTCACCCTTCTTCTCTGCAAATTCCCTATCAAATGCGGCATCATACTTAATGATTCATCATTGAAATCACTTTCTCCTTGGAGGTGTTTCCCATCCTTCTGGGCAGGGGTTGGAGGAGAACCTCATTCGTGGATAAATTCATATGCTTCTTTATTCCTACACCAAATAAACTGAATGCTTAAGAGGTTCGAAGTATTACAGGCAGACTGGTTTTACTCTATTAGTCTCCAATTTCAAAAAAGTCCTCAGTCCTGACCATACATTCTCTGTTTTCCTATTTGTTTTCTGCTCTCTACATTTTCCCCACCCTATTTAAATATTCCACACATTTCCCAAATATCCCAAGATAATTGGCAGTGAACCCTAACTTTTACTTCGGAGAGAAAATAGTATTATTATAAATAAGAATTCACTGGACTTCCTGCCCAAAAATCTAAAAAGTTACCTGGATCCTGAACCATCCTGGTTTTCTTACAAATGGAAAAGGGATTCACTCCCTTCACCCTTGCTTCAGACCCCCATCAACCGGGGGGTCTGAACGTTTTTTTTTTTAACGGGACATTTCTATTTACTATTCACTCTGCCTAACTTCCTCTCTCTTCTTGTCTGCTGACTCCTTCCCGTAAGTTTTAAAACATGCTTAAGTATTGTTCATCCTGTTAAACACCTTCATCAACTCCATGGGCTTCTCTGGTCACTGCCCTCTCTCCTCCTGTCCTAAACCCAGTTTCCTGAAGGAATTTTCTAGTCTCATAGGCTCCACTTCCACAATCCTATTCATTTGTTAAACCATATTAATCTAGTTAACACATCCTTTGCTTCACTAGTCTCACCAAATTCACTAAAGGACGACTTATTAAAGTTAATAGTTACTTGTCAACCCTTGTTTGAATTGAACTTATGTTAACTTTTTACACTGTTGACCACTTTTTAAATATTCTTCTCCAAACTTCTTTGAAAACATATTGACCTGATTTTTTGTTTTAATTCCCCTACTCTTGCTCAATCTTCCACATGTACAGGCTTGTTCCTTGAAGTTCTCTTTCTGTAAGTAATGTGTCCTCAGGATTCTATTGAGGAGCTTCTGTCTACCCTTCACGGATTCAGATTCAACTCTTGAAGGAAATCCTTCCATTTACCTTGAGTTCCAGTCGTGCATGGCCAACTGCTTACTCAAAATTTCTACTTGCAGGACCACAGTTCTTCCAACTCAGTACAGGGGCCAAAAGTGAAGCCATGGTCCTCCTTGTTTCATCATCCTGTTGGTCTCCCAGTGAGTCACGTTCTTGTACTTAAGTCGTCACGTTCTTCAACTAGAGCTTTAACTTCCCAGTTATCTCCCTAGTCCGTTCTTTTTCCCATTCCAGCAACTCTCATCTAGAACCACTACAAGCTCTCATAGGGATAATTCTTGTGATCTGTTAACTAGTTTTCCTCTTCTGTTCTGGCCTCCACTCTTATCTTCTCCTTAGCCAGAGTGTCATTTCTGAAATGTATACCTGACCATTTCCATACCTTGACTCAAAAATGTTTCTGGGGCTCCTGACTTTTTTCTTTGAACTAAGTCCAGATTTATAACGTTCTTCATGTTGTAGTTAACTGTTCAATTGCAATCATTAAATAATCATCGAATCATAAAAAAGCATTTTAATGACTTGATAAATTCTTCCAGACCCTCCCTTAATCTTCTGATAGTCAGATTTTCATTTTGTTAAACAAATGTTATTGAAAAATTTATGTCATAAAGATCTAAATATTAAATAGCTGATTGTTTTTTAATACTTTTAGTTCTAATTGCAATAGCAAGTAATGTAAAACTATATAAAATATATTAAGCTTCTATTTATAATTTTAGTTTCATATTTCAGGAAAAAGTTGTAAATTTTTCACATTTTATTGTTGAGGAGAAATACCTTTCCCCCTTGCTTTATGTCTGGATAGAAGGAGCTACAAGATGGGAATAATCCTGGATTCTTGGCCCACCTGCATCCTTGAGAAATGGCTTACCTGTCTCCCACTTCTTTGAGGTGCAGTCTTCATGTCCTCTATGTAGTAAAATTTATAGGGTCAAATTCTCATGAGGGATATGTGTGGTTGTCCAGCCAGGCCCGTGACTCCATGGATAAGTGTAATTAATTCGGAGTGTTTCATTAGCAAGTCCATGCTCTAACAGACCTAAACTGATATTCCCTAGTATTTTAATTGCTACCTGTTTGAAAACTGTGTTTCTCTCAAGTGTTCTGAGCATGAGAAGATAGGGAAATGGGATGTGATTTACTAACTTCCTGAAACATCAACATTTACTTAGAAATGGTGGTCTCCATTACAAATTCATTCCTTTCAGCACCAGATAGGATCAGAAGATGGGTCTCACTTTACTAGTCTGTAAATGACCATTCAATCCATACTAATCCATACCTATGCTTCTTTTCCCGCGTGTACTCTTAAAGAAAAATAAACAGTTGATACGGATACCAGCCCATTGTTGTACTTACTATATAAATTACAATGCTAACTACTTTGTATACATTTCCTTACTTATACCTCATGACATTCCTATGCAATAAATATAAGTACACCTATTTTACTGTGGCTCTTAAAACATGAACAGCTCACTCAAAGACACACACAGAGTTGGCAATCTGAGCCCAGGACTAACTGGGTCCACAACACAGGCTATATTATACTATCTCCCAACTAGAAGAGTTTCTGCATATTCCGTCCAAATCAGTCAACTTTGAACCATCCAGCCACCTTGAAATCTGTAGACATTTGAGTGCCTTTTCAGATAACTCCCAAAACATGTTTTCAGCAGCTCCGTAAACGTTCATGTGATATGTACTAGACACTAAAAATAAAAAGGTGAATAAATTTGGGTTTTACTCTGAAGGATCAGAGAATGAGTGTATCGGAGGCATGGGAACATTTTGAGAAGCAAAATTAGTACAGGTCCACAATCCCTTACCCACATTATGAAATCTCAAAACCCTAAACACTGAAAATTATTTTGTAAACTGTAGCCATTTGGGACCAACACCTTACCTGTACTGGCATTAAGCTACTTACAATCTTCAGTGACCCCACTCAGTGTGACTAATTCCTACATTTCATTACAGACATATTAACGGGATTGGGTACTGAATGTTAGGCCCAGTAATGCGTACCGTATTACCTTCCTAAAATCCAAAATAAGTAGTAGTAATTTTTGAAATACGTCATGTCCCTAGAGTTTGGGGGTAAAGGATTATAGGCCAATCAATTGATATAATAGCAGTGTTATAGTGGTGGGTGCTCTTTAAAAGCCCTTAGGGATAGGAGGCAGAGCTTCAGGGCAGAGGTCCCATTAGATCTGATTACTGAAGGGTAAATACAGATTTCCAAGCAGGCAGGCGGGAGAAAATGCTTTGGAACATGGAACAGCCTGCACATCGTAAGAGAGCGTTGTGTGGCCCAGGGAAGGAGCATAGTAGGAGAGTGGCAGAAGAATCAAGATGGATCCATAGCCCGGGGTCACATCACAAAGATGCTGTGGAATGCCATTCAAAGTGTGAATCTGTCCCAAATGGCCAAGGGGTGGTCAGAAAGTTGTTCATAATAATCATAATATAAAGTTATCTCACGATTTCTGCTTTTATGTACTCTATCGATAAATTAACATTTCTTCACATTGCAATTTTTTCCAGATATTTCGGTCAGCTTGTTAGCAGTCGTTGTCAGCTTCTGTGGTCTGGCCCTGTTGGTTGTCTCACTTTTTGTCTTCTGGAAGCTGTGCTGGCCTTACTGGAGAAGCAAACCCGTGACTTCCAACGTCAGTGCCCTTCCACAGAGCGTGTCAAATGCTCCTACTGAAGTTTTTGAGACTGAAGAGAAAAAAGAAATTAAAGAAAATGGAAAGCCAGCACTCAAAGCTATCGAGCCTGCAATAAAAATCAGCCACACTTCCCCTGATATCCCAGCAGAAGTCCAAACCGCTTTAAAAGAACATTTGATTAAACATGCACGTGTGCAGAGACAAACTACTGAGCCTACGTCTTCATCCCGGTAAGGAGAGATCAAACATACAAAACTCTGTGTGTGTGTGTGTGTGTGTGTGTGTGTGTGTGTGTGTGTGTGTGTGTGTGTTTTCTGTGTGATTTTATAAGAGAGAAAAACTGCAGGAAGGGAGAAAAGAAAAGACAAACAGGACAAATGAGAAACAGGAAACATAATTGAATGGAAAGGAAAAGGGTAAAGCAGAGTAAATAGGAGCAAAGAGAGAGAGAAACTGAGAAGCCAAATAGGGAGCAGGACCGTGACAAGGGTTTAGTAGAACTTGAGATCCCCGTGAAGTCATGTGACTATAGGTTATCTTTTATTAACTCTTTCTCTTGAAACATCATTGGTTGAGAGCTGTTACTTAACACTCTATTCGTTTAATTCAACCAATAAATACCAAGAAAACAACCATTTGCAGTGCCTGTCATGAAATCATGTAGTTCACAGTCAAAACTGAGTAACAGAGGTCAATGCTCAAGTCTACATGGAACTTGTGCCATAAATATGGAACTGCCAGGAAATTCCATTGCCTGTTTGAACTCACACAGACTGGACTCTCATGGCTGGAGTGTAAGTTCCTCAAGAGCTTTGATGGCTGGCATGAGCGTACCAGGGAGTATATATGGAAGGAAGGAAAAGAGAGACATCCTGATGGAGATAAGTTATATTTTTAACTAACCTGGAAAAAAAATCAGCAAAAGTTTGCTGAAATGAAAATAATTTGCTATAGTGTATTTTAAATTGTGTTAATGGTAATGGAAAATGACATTCTGGTGAAGAATCATTTTTTCTACCAAGTATGATCTTCAGTCCTTACAATGAATGACAACATTGTAGTGGCCATTTTTTCTGGTTCCCAAAAGTAGCACCTAGTTTTACCCTAAAACTAGGGTAGGGCAAAAATCAACAGAACTGGGAGGTAAATGCTATTTACTGCAAACTAGTTGCTTTCCTAATCTTACCTTCCTACCTCTAAATCTAAGATACATCTATGCTTTCTGACATGACATACTTATATGGGTTTAGGAATCTATCAAATTGAAAACCTGTGTCTGGGTCATTTGCTACTAGGATTGAAAGAACTTTCAATATTCTTTTGTGAATATTACAACATTCAATATATCTTTTGTGAAATGAAAAAGGATTATATCTATGAATAAGTCCACTTCTTTCTCAAATATATTCCAGGAAGATAAGTAAGAATAACTTGCTTTGGTGGGAAAGGAAACTTGGGATAAGAATAATGGCTGGAGGTGTTTTTTCCATACTCTTATTTTCTGTGATGTTGAGAATTTATAACCAAGAAATGCCTCATACTTAGTTATTTTCTGACAACTTTCCTGGGCAGTAGCATTTTTATGTAATGTGACTCAATATATGTTCATGTGAATGTATTTATTATGGATATTTAACTTTAAAAAATTATCCCATACCACTTTTCTTTAATGTCTATAGGAAAACTGCTTTAAAATAACCTCATGTCATTGTTTATCACTGTGATCAGTGATACAAACTGTGACCAAATAGAATATTTAATATTAAGACACTCAGAAATCTCAGAGTGAAAATGTTCAATTAATCTACAAAACATTTTTAAAATATTAACAACAGCTATGAATATATATCAGCTTAGTATTCAGAATTATTCAAGTCTTTTAGTTGATTAGGGCACCTATGTAAGGACACTGACCTAATGAAGACAAATTGGGGTAAAGCCATGGAAATAACTTAGCTTTCTCTGCCCAGATGTTTTTGGAAACCTCGGGAAAACAAAGCGCTATCTCAAAGGTATTATGTGTTGAATGTGAAGAGACAGCTTGTCCGGTTGTCCCTGTCTAGGAAGAATGAAAGATTACTTATTGAAGACACAGGTGTGAGGACTTGGTTTGCAGACTGAATTCTAGAAATAATGTACAATAGAAATGAAGACACATCCCTCAAGCTCTGGATTTCTCAGTAATCATGTGAAACTGAATAAATCAGTAAAACACTTTTTCTCACCATCTCAAAAAACATAATTGGGTTGTACATACCCTATTTTCTAGGAGAAAAAGTGGAATACACATTCCTAGTTTTGCTAGAACTTTGGTATCATTTCATCTGCCTCTTCGAATTTCCTTGTATCTATGAGTGGCTGAAGAAGGAAGAAAAAAAGGAATTATTTTTGAGCACTTGCAGTTTCCTGCTGATTTTCCGCCAACCTGTATGAAGTATTATTGATTATTCCCATTACCTGGGAATTCACTGAAGCCCTGAGAGATTTAAACATTTGCCTAATGTCATGCAGGTTGACAAGAGTTCAAATTCACATTTATCTAGATTGATGGTTTCACATTATAAATGTTAAAGCCAAGAAGATACAGTACTTTGTAATCAAAGATGGGGTGACAAGTCGGCTTCAGACAGGCAGTTCGCACACTGGAGAACAGAGGCCATCTTCCTCCTCCCTGAAGTGTTTTAAAAAACAGGAATTATGTGTGGTTATTGTGAATGACGAGAGTCATGATTTTACTCTGGCTGTGGGATGAATTCCTTGCAGAAAACCTGATTATTTCTAGTACTCAAAACCCCTCATCTACACACTAACTGCTTGCTCTTACCAGAAGTTACTTTTATATGGAGAGGAGGGGGAAATGGCTGAGTTCATTATGCAGTCTGCTTGCACACAGGGATCAAGGGTACATTTTCATAAATCTCATGATTCTGTTCAAATGCTCACTTTTTGTTGAGATGTAACGAAATCAAACCATAAAATACACACACATGCACACAATTAATTTTAGTTTAATCTCAGTCTCCTCGCCTTATTAGGATATCCCAGCTCTAGTCTCCTAGTGGGACTCCCTTTTATTCTGTTTGGATGATAAATGACAGACATCATGCTCTTTCAAGTTTTATTTGTCTCTATCATTAAGTGACATCGTGATGGATCCCGAAGTTAACAGCATTGCTGGAACTTCTCATCTTCCTTTTCAAATACCTGGACATCTGGCCCCAGGGGCACAGCAGCAGCCTAACAACCCAGCAGGCAACTGTGTATTTCTTCATTCCTGACATTCTTCTAGCATCTGTCTTCATTGATTGTTCGTTCATTCATTCAATAACCTTATTCAGCAGATACCTACTAATGGGTATAGATAGTATATTCTGTCCCTTCCGTCCACTCTTCACACTCAAGAGAGCTGGAAAAATTGTACAACATGATGCAGAGATGAGACGTGCAATCTCAACTTCCGTGTAAGGAATTACAAGTGCAAACTATGTGGGGGAAAATGTGGCATTTTGAGGATAGAAAAATTATTTCCAGCATGAGGCATGGAGAAGGCCTTTAAGCTGAGGCTAAAGAAACTGGAAATTCAGATAAATGGCATTTGGGAGAAGGTGGGTATCCCAGATGGAAACATTTTCATATGAAAAGACAGAACAGGAAATCTTGCTATGAAAACATCAAGTAAGTTACCTTGATCAGAAAATAGAGCTCAGTGGGGGAATAACGGGAGGTAGAGCCACCCGGAATCCAAGTAGGAGAAGGCATTGAAGTCACGGCTAACGTGTCCAAGGTCTGTCCTGCCGAAAATATTTGCAGCAGAGAGTCCCCTGGATAAGAGCTATGCTTTAGGAAAATTAATTTGGCAACAGTTTATAGGACAGACTGTAAAAAAAGAAAATATATTTTGAAACTGATACAGTAGTGCCCATGGGGTGAAAAATCAGGAGGTAGCGAACCACAAGAAGTAGAAACCTGGGATAAGTTGTACAGGAAGAATCTAAGAGCCCTTCTCAGAAACATGAAGTGGCCCTTCAGTCACTCCAAGCCTCGCCCACACCCTCGCAGAGCCTGACATTTGAACTCTTACAATCCGCTGATGCCGCGGTGCCGTTGAAGCATTTTGGTTCCCACGCGCCCCGCACACACAGCACCGTGCTGCTTTCTTAGGCAGAAAACCTGCCGACTTCACTCTGGGTTGCTCTTGACACCCAGACAAACCACTTACAGGAACTCAGGTTGTATTTGTTGAGTAAAAAATATATATATATCAGTAAATTAATTTGATGACTTCATCTTATCTATCGAAACAGATGCATTTCATGGTTGCCCGCTGGAAGGGTACTTGGTCTTGTTATCATCATCCCCTCGTAGACCTCAGCGCTCTGCCTCTGTGCTTTTTGTTTATGCTGCTTCCCTTGTCTGGAACGGTGATTTCTTTTTTATCTATTATCCAGTCTTTAAGGTAAATGCATCTGAGAATCTCCTTTCTTTGCCCGATTATAAGCTATTATCCTGTATGATTTAAAGCCATAGTTACAGGCTAGCAATTATTTATTTTTTGTCTTACTATTGAGCTCTAGCTCTTTACCAAACTAGACGCTAAATTATGAGAGAACAAGGCTGTGCAACCTGCGTTTACATATTCCTAATTTCACCGTTTAAGTGCGAGTAAGCAACAAGCGGATGACTTCCTTTCTCGTAATATATTATGTTCTCAGGACTTTATTTGTAGATCAAAAATTACCAAGAAATATTTTCCAACCTAATTGCTTTCTATATATTCCTTTAAATATATGCTAGGTCAAAAGCAATTGTTTATCATCCCATGTTATGATTTTTTTACCTTTTTTTAACATGTGGAAAGGTCAAGGGGCATATATTTTCAGGATACCTGAACACTTATTTCCTTAATTGCTATTAAAGAATAGGCCACCTGTACATTCTTTGACCAGAATAAACACGTTATTTAAATGAATTTTAACCATTACATTACATAATTGAGAAGAAACCAGTTTTTTCTTGAAACAGCTCTTTTTATTATTGGATTATTTGTCACTTTTTTTCAGGGAAAAATTTATTCAACAGCATTTACTGAACACTTATTGTGCACCAGGTATTTATTTTAGATATCTGATACCCATTAGGGAACAAAACTGTCAGAAATCCCCACCCACATTCTTGTGGAGAGGAACCAGAAAACATAACCAAGTCAATTACACGATGTATTAGAAGGTAA